TTAAGGAGGACTGTAAATCCATATTAATTCCTCCATACTCTTGAAACTTAATGAACCTGATCCTCTGCCATATTATAGGGAGAAAAAGGTGGAGAGGACGCAACATCTGAAAGCACACAGACTTCAAAGACTTTTCATTTAAGAAAAATAAATTATTCTTTTGTTGTTGTTCACCAAAATTAGGTTTAGTATGACAGGAATGGAATAAAAAATCAGAAACATATCTCTTAATAAAAAACCATGGGCTTAGTTTTGCATTAATAAGTTACATTTCTAGGGGCGACAGTGGAAATAGAGCCTCTCTCTATTATGTTATGCTGTGTGAAAGGGATTAGAATGTCAGTATCCTGGAACTTTGTCCCATTTTGTATGACCTCCCCTTTTCACATTAGTTGTACTTCAAACGTAGGATGGTTTAACTGTCAAGACAAATACCGTATGATTTCACTCATATGTGGAACCTAAAAAATAAAATAAATGAATAAACAAACAAAGAGAATCAGACCTGTAAATACAGAGAACAAACTGATGGTTGCCAGAGGGGAGGGTGTGTGTGGGGGGGGTGGGGGTGTAAAATGGGTGAAGGGGAGTGGGAGGTAACAGGCTTCCATTTATGGAATGAATAAGTCATGGAGAGAAAAGGTACAGCATAGGGGATATGGTCAATGGTACTGTAATAGTGTTGTGTGGTGACAGATGGGAACTACACTTGTGGTGAGCACAGCGTATTGTGTAAAGAAGCTGAATCACTGTGTTGTACACACCTGAAACTAATGTGACATTGTATGTCAAGTATACTCAAATAAAAAAATAAAAAAAAAACCCCATAAGATGGTTTAAAACAAGAGAAATTTAGGAACTAGTAGATTGATATATTATTCTGACCATCCTCCAGAGTGTTAATGAAGTATCCTAATGAACCACATCGATGTGGTTTTTGTCACTTTTATCATTTTTTCATCTTCGTATTCATTCAATTAATCTTCCTCAAATATTCATAGTTTCCACTATGAATTCAGCACCAAGCTTGGTACCAAAAGATACAATGATGGGCAAAACCAGAAAAGGCTGGTCTCTCCCTCCACAGATCTTATGGGTCAGAGGAGGAAATAAATATTAACAAATAATCCAGAAATAAATATATCAATAAAGGAAATTTGTGGAGAGAACCAGACTGATGTAGGTCCAAATTCTACATCTTCCTGTTCCTAATTTTATCACCATGGGCAAGACACTGAAACTCACTGAACATCAGTTTCATCATCTGCAAAATGAGGCTATAAATGCCAACCACGTAAGATTATTGCATGAATTAGAAATAAGCATGAAAGTTGTCTCACAATAATTGTTATAAGGAGTAGACTAAGACTATAAGGAGTAGACAAAGTAGACTTGTCCCTTTAGAGGACAGGATATCCCCCTCCTCCTTCTCCATCTCTAATAACTTCCTTAGCCTCTGATGCCACCAGAATCTAGGAAGCACACATTTTTCCTATAAAGTTAGTTTCTCAAAGTCATTGTCTGCCCAGAAACTGAGGAAAGACAAAGTAGAATTGCTATTAATTATAATCTATTGAGTGTATACCGCATACCAAATATTGTGCTGGGTAATGTCTAATTTTATCTCACTTAAAGATTACAACAATCCTTAAAGTAGATATTATTTTTATCCTAAACTTACAAGGAGGAAATGGAATCTCAGATATATGAAGTTATTTGCTTAGGTAATAGCAGCTGAATCTGAATACTTTCTGCAAAGCTGTAACGGGGAAACCCAGTTTTCCTCCAGTCTTTCTTTTATGTGTGTCTCTTTCACTTTCACACCTCTACCGCACTCACGACACTTCACTTCAGTCACTTATGGTCACCAAATGTGCGGAGTTTTCCCTCCGTCAAGAAATTCTAGGACACCAGTTGAGTGTCCCACGGCTTAACTCAATTCTGACACTTAGGGCTTAGGGCTTAGTCCTACAGGGTTGCTTCCACTCTAGGTCAGATGCCAATCACAAGTAGTAGATTCCCAGCTTATCCACAGCTTCTGTCTAATTTGGCTACAAATTGGAGATTCCCATGACTCCCTCTTCAGGTTCAATTAATTTGCTAGAGTGGCTCACAAAACTCAAGAAAACACTTACAAATGCCAGTGTATTAAATGATATGATAAAGGATACTGATGAACAGCTAGATGAAAAGATACATAGCACAAGGTCTGGGAGTTCCTAGGTGATAGATATGCAAATAAATATCCAGAGTGCAATACTCAGGGTCCTGAGTGCAGGAGCTTCTATCCCCACTGGGTTGGGGTGTATCAGCCTTCCTGTGTGGATTTGTTTGCCAACATGGAATCTCTGGGAATCCCCTACTATTAGGATTTATGGAATCTTCCTCACATAGGCACTATTGATCAGTAAGTACATGTTCAGCCCTTCTCCCTTCTCAAGAAAATGGGGGACTAGGGCTGAAGATTCTAAGCTTCTAATCATGGCTTGGTGTATTTGATGACTAGCCGTCATCCAGCCATTCAGGAGCCCATTCAGAGTTGCCTCGTTAGAGCAAAAAACTCTCCTGTCATCCAGGAAATCACAAAGGTTTCAGGAGCTCTGTGCCAGGAACTAGAGGTGGACACCAATAGACATGTTTTCTATGATCTCACAAAAGCCAACATGATTTTCCTGTATCCCTCCGGTTTATTTGCCTAGTTTCCTTGCCAGTACTTTCTTGAATTTCTGAAATAGTAAATTGGGATTCTGCATCTTGCTTTCTTCTTCCATCTCCTATTCTACATCCTTCTCTTTTGGCTACATTAACATACTCTGGATGTGCCAACATTCTGCTACTACCTCTGTGCTCTGGCAAGGATTGGGGCAAATTAATGTTCTTTTAATTGAATGGATGGCTTTCTGGGAAATGATGGCAATTTTATTTAATAGAGCTGCCTGAGTTATGAAAAAGAGAAAAAGAAAGAGGAAAGATGTGATGAAAGACTTTTATCCTGTGAAATGCAAAGAACATCAAGAAAGAATTAGCTGATGAGGCAATGTTTTCTTAATGTGGGAAGAGAATGATCAACAATCAATAGCACAAAAGGGAGAGGAAAGCAAGTACATTCCAGTGAAAGAGGAAAGGAATAAATAATGGAAAGGAGAATAAATCACATTGTGTAATTGAATTAGAAAGATTTCTTATAAATGCTGAAGGGTGTCAAACTTGCGATAAGTAGGGGAGATAAATAGCTTTTAAAATTTCTTAAAGGGCGCCTGGATGGCGTCTGCCTTTGGCTCAGGTCATGATCCCAGGGTCCTGGGATCAAGTCCCGCATCGGGCTCCCTGCCCCCTGGGGAACCTGCTTCTCCCTCTCCCTCTGCCTGCCGCTCCCCCTGCTTGTACTCTCTCTGTCAAATAAATAAATAAAATCCAAAAAAAAAAAAAAGAACAAATAGAGAACAAGAAAGAGCTCATGGAAAATAAGAATATGACAGCCCATAGAAGGATGAGAAGATGAAATGCAAAAAATAGAACACCGCAACATGGGAGTCTCTACTTGTGGTCCTGAGAACTCCCCAAGGATTGGGATACAGAGGATGAAGTACCACTTCAGAAATTTCTTGAATACAACTAAATTCTTGTGTTGAGCTGTTTCTATCTTCTCTCTTTAAAAAATACTTATTGGGAGGTAGTATCCTTGTCTAACAGCTAGTAATATCCCAGATGTCACTATGCTAGACAATCTAAGAATTTCTAATTACAGCTAATCCCTGCCTTAATAATCTAGATAATTGTTCCAGTTGACATTTTATTTTAGCTGACACATTTATTAATTTGTTATTGTTTTCTAATTTTTAATAGTTTCTTGAACATTATCAGCAGTAGAACACTGTTGAATAAATATATTGTACACTGGAAATTATATATACTCGCTAAATTTTCTTATACAAATTTCTCAAAACATAATAGAATGGTTTCTTTTGAACATATTAAGCACAGATGAGTAAATGTGCTTCTTTTGGGTAGGTTCGTGGTATACACTTAAATGTTCTGTTTGAGTACTTGGTTTAAATTGTTTGAATGTATAATCGATTGCTTCTCAGTTTAGTTATCCCCCAAACATTTTGTTCAAAAAATCTCTAATAAAGTGTCACATTGTACTCTGGATATTTATTTGCATATCTATCACCTAGGAACTCCTCAAGGATGAAGAAATTGTTTTATCCCATTTTCTCAGTCCCTAGATTGGTATTTTAGCCCCAAAATGCTTGCAATGCACTGATAAATAAAAGTCCATCTCTCAGACACAATGGACTTGTGGACTACATCAAACCAAACAGAGTATACAAGAGTGCCAGAAAATAATAGTAGTGTAAATATACTCTGCTGGGGCTATAGATATAAAAAAAAGCTCCGGGATCTGTTAGTTTTTTTATTCAGATTCAACTGAGTAGAAAATGAGAAAGAAGAATTGAAGTGTAAAATGAAGTAGAAATTCTATGACAGATGAAGTGAATCTTAATTGTTGGGGTGAAGTGCAATTCTCAGAGTAATTGTGGTTGTATATCTGAGATTCTAGTTTTCACAACTTTTTAGGTTTTTAAAGTTATTTTAAGTGGAATTAGGAGCAAAAAGTAAAATTGGGGCAAAAGTAAAGTATTTACCTCTTATCTTGTGTTGCAAATTATTCATAGGAGTTGAGCTTCCCTCTTAGAGAATTATAGAAAAAGTTTCAAATAGAATTTCTCCACACAAACTGTGGTTTCATGTTCTTTGGATAATTTGTCAAAATTATCCTTCTTTAATGAAGAATTAGAAACCAGACCCTACCCATTGTTCTTATTTTCTTTATTCATTGTGTTTCTAAATTTAAAAATGGGCCAATACAACTCACCTATGACTTGGATTTCTCATATTTGGGGTTTTTGACTCCACTAAAAAGAGGACAATTCCTCCCACCCCCAAAACACTGACACACACACACACACACACACACACCCACCAAAAAGCATTACCTTGAGCTATGTAAGGTGTGGTTTCCTCTTTTGGAGGGATATTTGTGGGTCGAGGTGTAGGGGCTGGAGGTCTGTTTATAATAAAAGACCGACTCCCCAATTTTTTCTTTGTACTCATATTGGCCAGTATCACGTCATAGTCACTGTCTTCAGTCTCAACAAACGTGTACGGGTCTTCCTCCTTCCCCTGCTCCTTTTCATCTTCTTTCTTTTCTTCTTCTTTGGGGTTACCTCCTGTTTCTTGTCTTGCTCCGAGACCACGCCAATTTTGACTTCTTTCCGCCTGGCCTTCCACCATTTTTCCTGCTTATGAAATATTTAGATTGTGCTTACTCTTCTATTTTATGCAATATTGTTGATGTCCATCTGTCACTTCCTTGAAACTCTCCCCAAATAATTTATATATAGTCTCATAAATTTCAAAAAGAAAAGTACACTATATAATTTACTAACATATTTTCCTGCAGTTTGTAATTGTTAACTTTGTTTAAAGAAAAAAGTTCGGGGGCGCCTGGGTGGCTCAGATGGTTAAGTGTCTGCCTTTGGCTCGGGTCATGGTCCCGGGGTCCTGGGATCGAGGCCCAAATCGGGCTCCTTGCTCAGCAGGAAGCCTGCTTCTCCCTCTCCCTCTGCCTGCTGCTCACCCTGCTTGTGCTCTCTCTGTCTCTGTCAAATAAAAAATAAAAAATCTTGAAAAACAGCAACAACAGTTTGTTTGGGCGCCTGGCTGACTCAGCCATAAGAGCATGCAACTCTTCATCTCAGGGCTGTAAATCTGAGCCCCACTTTGGGAGTAGAGTTTACTTAAAAATGTAATCTTAAAGAGAAAAGAAAGGTTTGTTTAAAACATGGACTTCTTTGAAAACATATAAATAGGCATATAAGTATTTTCCAGATAATTTATAAGGGATTTAATATCAGAAAATTGAGTGATAAAACTAAGCCTCAAATCCCAAACGCTTTGGAAAAGTTGTTTTTCAAGCAGAATATGCTAAGATTTTTTTTTTTTCCACTTGAAGTTATTTCACCTTTCATTGGGCTTGCACTGGGTGTTTTGCCTAACATTCAATTTATCTGCAAATGACAGGGGGACTAGCCAAACATGCCATTACTTGGTTTCTTACAGGAAGTCTCACTGTGGCCTAACAAACTGAGGTTCCACAATGCAACTCTTGATGTCTGTAAGACAGCGTGAACCTCATTTTTAGATAAAGAACACTGAAAGTAGGGTTTGTGACAAGGTGGCATGGATAATCAAGGACTTGAAGATTAATTCATATGAAAAGAATAATCTTTCATAGTTTTAATAGCCAGTAAAATCTTTACTTTTTTTTTTTTTTTAGATTTTATTTATTTATCAGAGAGAGAGAGACAGAGGCAGGCAGAGGGAGAAGCAGGCTCCCCGCCCAGAAAGGAGCCCGATGCGGGACTCGATCCCAGGACCCCGGGACCATGACCCGAGCCGAAGGCAGATGCTCAACCAACTGAGACACCCAGGCATCCCTCTTTACATATTTTTTAAAGAATATATTAAAATATTTTGTAGCAGTTATTTAGAAGACAAAGGTATTGCATACTTTGGTTAATGAATAAGTTGGAAAACATTTTGATGGCTCCATACCAATGAGAATTTTATTAAAAATTAGACTTTTGGGGCACCCGAGTGGCATAGTCAGTTAAGCGTCTGACTCTTGTTTTCGGCTCAGGTCGTGATCTCAGGGTCTTGGGATCGACCCCCCTGTCAGGCTCCTCACTCAGCATAGAGTCTGCTTGAGACCCTCTTTCCCTCTCCTTCTGCCCCTCCCCACCCTTCTCTCTCTCTCCAAAATAAATAAATAAAATCTTGAAAAAATTAGACTTTTGACAGATGTTTTGCTTAAAGCATTAATGAAAACAATAAAATGGAAAGAATTTCAGTTACTGACTGAAAAATCATTACTTTTGTGGGTTGTTCTGAGAGATTCATGCACGTGACTTAAGGGAGAACTATCCTGCTTCCTCTTTGGTGACGATCTGGCCAAAAAAATTTAGGTTATTTATGGATATTTTAGTGGAAAAATGTAGACGCTAAGGAGAAAGGCAAGTTGTAGAGCAGAATAAAATATATATTATCTTAAGTAGTTCAGCCATTGTCCTGGGTAGGCTCATGAGGACTCCCCCAAAGGAGTCTTAAATCTGATTGTTTCAGTTAGTTTAAGCCAAGAAGTACTAATGACTACATGCCTAGCACTAACTTCCAAATCAGCATGACTTGCCTTTCTCCCTATGAATAATATGGTACTGAGATTTTGACTTCATGACTTCTGTTTCACTGACAGCATAACAGGTGAAACCAGATTAAGTGTGTGGGAAACATTTTTACAGTGTTTCATTTTTAGCGGAATGTGTCAACTATCTTACTTTTATCAACCCATTTCCTGAGCTGCTAACTCCCTTTGTTTCCCCACCCACCTTCCTTCCCAACTCTTTCTAAAGTTGGGCTTGCACCAGAAATAACACATTTTACATTTTTATTTCTCAATGTATCAGATTCCGCTTTTCATGTCAGCGTGGGGCCTGAGCATTCTTAATTTAAGTTGTACATTAGTAAATAAAGTTGAAAATAAATCACTCCTATCATTCTAATTTTTGAAAAAAAAAAAAAAACTAGAGGAAGAGTGTGTAACAAAGAGAAGACTCTTCAAAGACAAAGAAGCCTGTTTATAGAAGTATTTGATACATTCTAATTACGGTCTGAGTCAAAGAGGGATCATAGTGAGTGTTGCCTTGCACACGTGTTGTGAAGATAAAAAGGGACAATGTGTTCTTTATAAACTAAAAAGTGTTCTATAGTGTTTTGTATTCTTGTTTTCTCCAGTGAATATGCCCATAAATCCATCATGGGGAATCTGAGGCTCAGGACATGAGGAGGTGGCCTCACTTTTTTGATAATTTGAGGGCATATGAAACTAGTCTTAGAATACAATTCTGAAGATATCACTAACTAAATTCAAGGAACCCATACCAAATCTCTGGGGAAAAAAAAAAAAGTGGTGGCTTCTAGTCTTACTTTTTACTAAGACCTTAAAGAATTTTAAGAAAAAATATTGACATTTTATTTTCCATTTACAATACTTCCAATATTAGTCTTATGAAAGATGAGATCAAAAGTAACACTGCATAGAAAGTGTAAAAGTACAGTTTTAAAATAAAAAATGGGGATTTTTTGTTTTATCTTGCTTTTTCTATTTGGTACTTTTCAGAAGATGTATTAGCCAATGTATACTGCTGGTTTTAGATATCAGGTGAATACTCTCTATAGAGTAGTTTTAGACGTCCTAGCCAATATACTATGTATAAAAATTTACATTTGGGAAAATATGATTTATTATTAGTCCTTTTAAGAGATTTAGCCTGATAAAAGACGACTTTGCCTTCTTAACAATTTATTTTAATAATTATATGAAATTATTCACATCTGTAGAAAGTGAGAAAATATACCAGAATTTTATTGTCAGTGTGCTGCTTATCTATGTTTCTCTTCCCACCCCCAGTATTGATACACTTACCTCACTGATCTATCGCAATGGTTTATAAGAGCTTGGCTCATAGTAGGTAATCAATAAATATTTGTTGAATGAGTGAAAGAATCAGAGGCGTGCCCATGAGGTTTTCCATACTTTCCATTAAGGAGGACTTTTCATCTCTAAGTACAGTGTATAACCTTAGTAAAGGTTTATGTTCATCAACTTTAACCTTTATAGAGACAGGCCCTTCAATGATGCAAATGCTCAATTTCATGGCTTCAAAATTCACCTTTTTAAAACAGTGTTTATATACTTTATAGCCCTCTAGGCCTCAACAGCTAAAAAGTATCATGACAAACGGAGTTTTAATAATAGATATTTCTTTCATCTTTCTTATTAAAACTTCACTGTAAGAACACTTTTTGAATTTGGAAAATAGATATAAAATAGTGATCACTAAAGTGGGTGATTAATTAGTGACTGTAGAGTGAACCTGGAGCTGGAAGTCTGTCAGGCTGTTGAACACTCCAGCCAGAGAAATCCAATAGGGAAGCTGCTCTTGATGGTACGTGCACCACCGCTTCCCCCATGCCCCCCTCCCCATTACACAGGTCATTCTTGCATTTGGAGAGAAATGTAATCATAGCCCTTTAACTGTTCTTCCACTTTAGCAATATACTGAGTGTTCTCAGACTTCGGTCTCAATGTAGTGTGTGATAAACTCTTTACCACTTGCTTCCCCTGCAGCTACCAGTGGAGTGAAAGTGCCCAAGGTCATTTTCAAATCTGTAAAACATTAGCCTTTTCTTTTTGCCAGACAACTAAGAGTACTTTTTAAAAGGAAAGTTGTCATTTACTTTCCCACGTGATGCTTGAGGTTCATTTTATGTGAAGGACTACAAATTCCTTCCAAGTTTTATTGCTTTACTTACTTAAAGCTTTATAATGAGATTGTTCTAGAAGAAAGGGAGGGAGGGAGGGGAGGAGGAAGGGAAGGAGGCTGTGGGTGAATTAGTGGCAGGGATCTCTTGCTTGATTTCTTAGGCCTTAGTTAAGGAAGAGCAGGAAAGCTGCTCTTGGTTTTAAAAGCTGATCTTCCCTGTAACAGATCTGCCACTGCACTATATGCAATGGAAGCCTGTCAAACTTCTGTGGTTGTTGTTTTAAACTTAAACTTACCCTGTAATGTGCAGGGCGGTGCTTCCAGTTGGGAGGCAGCAGCCACAGGTCGTGGCGGGGGGAGAGGGGGTCTGCAGCTCATGAGTGGCTCTGGTGAATTATGTTCTGGATTGTCTCCAGGAATGAACACATACAAGTCATTATCATACTCGTTCACAGAATTCCCACCGCCAACCTCTGCTAGGCTCTGCTCGGCCTCTGTGCCCCCTGCATTCTCTTTTTCTTCCTTCGCCAGTTCATCGGCCTCAGCTCCTTCCGCACGCCGCCTGTATGATGTCCGCCCGCTTGCGCGATGAAATGCTGGGTTCTGTGTGGCTGTTTATGATGAAGATGGTAGATTTCATTTAAACACCCCATGTGGAGGCATTTCATGTTTTCTAATTTCATACAGAAGTGGTAGTACTGCTAATAAAACTTTTATGAGCTGATACGTTAGAAAGATGACAAGCGCATAATTTTAGTGAATAGTCATTCTTGGGCTTTTAAAATATTTACCAAATGAACAGTTAAAGCTTCGTCATATCTTCTACCTCACTATACGACACACTCATACATACAATAACGTTCTGGTTCTCTAGAGTTATTCTTTGAGCAGAGTCATATATATGTTTGTATTACTAGAAAACAGTATAACTGACCTAATCAGTAATAAGTAAGTTATGGAAAAGGTAAAGACAAGGAAGAAATAAACCTTAACTTGCTTGTAAATAATGAAATGGTTATCATTATTATCATAATACTGTGATCTTATTAATTATATTTTAATATATAATTATCATCAGATTATATCTTAATTCTTGAAAATATGTTAATATTTTTTGGTGGAGAAGGCATCCAAACCACCAATAGTAGGTAAATCTTTATAAGACTCAGTTCTGTCACCTATAAAATATATCCTCTGCTGAAGCTTGACCAAATACTCCAAATTCCCTCCATCTTAAGAATCATATTACATCATTTGTTTTTATAGCATACATAATAGATACCCTCTAACCACTCGGGAAGAATTGAAAAAAGATATTATAATGCAATAACTTTAAATCTTAAAATTTTTTGTTTAAATTTTCTTTATAAAATTCTGCTTTAAATAAAGGATTCACAAAATTTTAAAACAAACTTGGAATCTCTAAATTGGAGGGACTATGTGAATTGTTGTCATTGTCAGTGCAATAAACAAGCAGAAGATTGTTGTTTTAAAGTGTTGCTAAGCTGAGATTTGGCTAAAGAAGCCAATTGGCAGAGTATGGAGAAAAAGGACTTTTTTTTTTTTTTTTAAACAACGCACAGTTACCTTGTAGAAACTTTTCAGTTATGGGAGAAAATTAGTGATGAGGAAAAATCGTGCCATGATGGTACTCATATTTCTACACGGAATTTTATTTTTTATTGTTCTTTCCTTTCATGTGAGAAAGAAAGAGGTAATTTCAGTACTAGAATTGCAGACCAAGATTCTTTAATTAACAGCCTAAGCAGAGCAGCCAACAGAAGGAGATCTCTTGCACAATTCTCATTCATCTTTCTTCCTCTAACTCCAAGCACTGAGCCTGAAATAAAGTAGTCTCTAGAAATGTTGATGGAGTCAATGATGCAGTCACTGAAAAGGAATTATGGCTCAGGCTAGCAAAGGAACTTCACTGTTTCTGTCTGGGCAAATCGATCATCAACTTAGAATTACACTCATGCTATAGGAAATTACTTGTAGCTGCTTTATGTTTATGTATTCAGTGTTTACGTTTTATGTATGCACTTTTCTAAGCCACAGAGCCTCCTTGGTCCTTGTCAAAAATGTCCAAACCTGGAATCCAGCCCTGGAGAGTTGGATGTCGTGGGTCAGTGAGTTTTAGCAAGCTTCATAGCGATGGCAATACCAATGGAAATCTGCCAACTAAGGTGTGCTACGCTTCACCCCCTATCTCATTAAGGAACTTGAGGCCTGAGTCCAGTCACACAGAATTTCAAACACAAGACAATTCCAGGTCCTAACGATCTGTGGAAATGAGGTTGCTCTCTATAAATGATGAAATAACATTTTTCTCTTTATAGGCAGTTCTTCTGAGGATTAAATCATAATAAATAAATGGTCACTATCAGTTTTATTATTACTAAAAACAAAAATAAAATGTGTAACTTTAAAAATCAGTGCATTAATTCATTAATATTTAGCATTATTTTGTGTTATGCCATAACTTTTGAAGGTGTTTACTGATCTATCAATACTGATAGACATTGTATTTAATTGTATTTGATTTGCAGGTCAATTTGCCTACCACTTGAGAAACCAGTGGTCATTAGTGGTTAGCTGAATATCAGCTGCTCAGTGTTAAAAGGGCAATGCCCTGTGGCCAGAGAATGCTTGCTATGTGAGATGTCACCGTGCGGTGAACAAACAAGAGAGTGGTCAGAAATGGGACCGAGAAGGTTATCTAGGGCTTTTTAGATGATGATGAGGATAAGTATGATGGGAAGGTATTGGGAAATTTGGAACAGAAAAATGACTAGCTCCTTCCGGAGCATAGAGTATTAGGGCTGGCAAATGTGGAAGCTGCTTACGCCAGGTTTCTTAGTAGTAGTACTGCCGACATTTTGGACGGGATAATCCTGTGTCATGTGGGGTATGTCCTGTGCTTTGTAAGATATTTAGCAGAATTTCTGGTGTTCACCCGCTGAATGCTAGTTGTAAACCTCCCTTCTCAAGTCATGATAATAAAAAAGCTTCTGTTCATTGACAAGGATCCTCTGTTGTGAGTGGGAAATAGTCCCTTGTTGAGAACCACTGTGCTGTTGCAATAGTCCAGGGGAAAGCTAACGGCAGGATGGACTAGGATAAATCATGGAAGAGCGAGGAACAGCTGAATGCTGGCTATGCTATGAAGGTAGAGTCAACAGTACTGTCTGATTGTATTGGATATGGGGTGAAAGAGGAAGTAAAAAAGCCAAGGGAGACTCCCAGGTTTTTGGATGGAATTAAACAAGGAAAGAATCTTCGCTTACTGAGATGGGAAAGTCAGCAGGTGGTGTAGGTTTGAAAGGGTCAGGCATTAGGGTTTTTGGATTTGGAATTGGTGAGTGGGAGATGCCTATCAGGCATGTTGGTGAAGATGCTGAGCAAGCTATTGTATATCAGGGGAATCTGGAATAATGGATAGAAGATTGAATTAGTCTTCAGACATTAGAATATAGAATTACATCCTATTATAGACAGTAAGGACCTTAGAGAGAGTTGTAGTCCAAGCTTCTCATTGCCTAGCAGAGAAAACTAGGGTCTGAAAAGAATGTGACTTTGTTTTTTAAAAAAATGAAAAAAACCCGAGTTGTCAAATAGAATATTTGCATCAACCTGACCTGTGTATTCTCTCTGGGTAGGAAAGACTGGTGTTTGATTTTTTAACAACTGAAATTAATAGAAGTATTTTTTTAAAGATTTTATTTATTTTTTGACAGAGAGAGACAGAGAGAGAGGAAACACAAGCAGGGGGAGTGGGAGACGGAGAAGCAGGTTTCCCACTGGGCAGGGAGCCCGATGCGGGGCTTGATCCCAGGACCCTGGGATCATGACCTGAGCCGAAGGCAGATGCTTAATGAATGAGCCACCCAGGCGCCCCTTAATAGAAGTATTTAAACTAGCAAGATAATGTAGTAACATCTCTACCATATTATAAATTAAAAGTCATTCAGTTAATTAAATGCCTTTCCATGCTCTCCTATGCTCTCTTCAGTCTTATTCTGTCAGTTATATGTACCTTAATACAGATGCTACATATATACATATATTCATAACATCCAGGAACACTTACTGGGAGAATATGTAAGTAGTGAGCTACTATCATCTTCATAGTCATTTTCTTGCTCATCATTTCTGCTAACTTCTGGGATCTGAAAAAAAATGAATGTAATTTTTAATAATATCCATTAATCTTAATACATCTGCATCTGCATACACCAAATGGAAGTTAATACCTGTGGAAATAATTGTTTTAGTTTTTATTTAAATACTTTGATTATACTATGTATCTTGGTTATTATATTTGTGCCATCTACAAGTGTTCAATGGCACAAAATATTAAAAGTATAACTGTGGCAATAGAACATTTATAATAGACAATAAATTAATTTAAAAATGAAACAGAGCAACTACTTTAAGATTCAAAACAACAGTCATGAAATTTAGGTGCAATAAGTAAGTCTTAAATAAAATTGAACAGGACTATTTCTCTTAAAAACCATGAGATTTCAGGGGCACCTGGGTGGCTCAGTCAGTTAAGTGTCTACCTTGGGCTCAGGTCATGATCCCAGGGTCCTGGGATCGAGTCCCGCATTGGGATCCCTGCTTAGTGGGGAGTCTTTTTCCCTCTGCCCTCCTCATGTTCTTTCTCTCAAATAAATAAATAAACTCTTAAAAAAAAAACCAAAAACAAAGCATGAGCTTTCCTTCATTTTAACATTTCTGTATCTTTAATCTGTTCAAAAGACATTCTTAATTACATCAAGTATTATAATACAGTCAAAGACAGTGGAATTGTAAAATAGTTTATTTTCCATCTTTAAAAAGAAAAAAGAAACAGAGTAAGGGGATTTATGTTTGTTTTTCTGAAGTCAGTTTCACTACACTTAGAAGGGAGAATTACTGAGAAAAGACAGAAATCTGTTATCTCTGAATTGCGTCTTTGTTTATAATCTCTGAAGGAGACATAGGGTCTACAGTAGTGGAACATATTTGTGCTCCTAGAGTAAGGTAAGTAATGCCAGTGACAACTGTGAGAAAGCATCTAGAGAAAGAGATGGAGGTTGGTTGCATTAATATAGGTCACATTTTGTTACCACGAACTGTAAGTGATTATTCAAATGATTTATGCTTTTGTTTTTATTAAAGCTGAAATGATTAGTCCATTTGCTCTGCATTGGGAATGTCCTTTTAAAAATTAGAAGCATCCATATTGAAGCATTATTAAATTTATAATAGCTTTGGTATGCAAAAGTATTTGACCTGCATATTGATTTCATCAATTTGGTTGGTCACTCACTTTGGCCAATGGGACCCAGTGGAATTTATTTATTTTTTCTTTCTTTCTTTCTTTCTTTCTTTCTTTCTTTCTTTCTTTCTTTCTTTCTTTCTTT